GTACATGACGTGGAATGCGACTTCCAAAATTGGGATATACTGTAACAGGAACTGAACGAGGGTCTTCACAAACATCAGTATTGAACATAAATGCTGGCTTGAGTCGATCGATTGATATTGATTTGGTGGAATCATTCATTTTGATGTTGAAAACTTTGTCATTTCTGCTCAGAACCAGATAAGGACCATCATATGGTGGTTGAAGAGATTTTTTAATAGAATCTTGACGCACGTATACATGAGTGCATGAAGCAAGATCTTTGTGGACGAAAACAGAACGATTTGATTTATGCTTAACTTCAATTGGACGTAACGAGTTCATTGAAGATTTCAGTTGCTTGACAAAGTCATCTGAAGGAGACAAATCGCTAGTGTTATTAAAAAAATCACAAGGAAGCTTTAAAGAAGTTCCATAAACAAGTTCAGCAGGACTAGCGTTTACATCCTCACGTAAACTTGATCGAAGACCAAGCAGCACAATTGGTAACACTTCCATCAAGCTATTAGTATTGTGACACATCAAAGCAGTCTTCAGCGAACGATGCCACCGTTCAATCATGCCATTGGCACAAGGATGATATGGCGTAGTGCGTATTCGTTGAGATCCAAGAAGCTGTGCAAGTTCTTTAAATAAATTTGACTCAAATTGACGACCCTGATCCGTTGTAATCCTGGAAGGAACTCCAAAACGAGATATCCATCCATGAAATAAAGCGTCCGCTACTGAGTGTGCACTTGCGTCTACTATGGGAAACGCTTCTGGCCAACGGGTGAATCGATCAATACAAGTTAAAATATACGAATACCCACGCGAGGAGGGCAATGGTCCGACTAGATCAATGTTAATGTGCGAGAAGCGTGAACTTGGAGAATCATAGCTACCTACAGCGCTGTGATTGTGTCGATAAATTTTTGAACGTTGACAAATGCTACAAGCTTTAGACCATAATTTAATGTCCCTTTTTAAATTTGGCCATACGAAACGTTGTAAAATCATTCGAGTTGTTGAATTTGCTCCTGGATGAGACATATTGTGTACATTCTTAAAAATTTCTCCGCGAAAATAATTTGGAATAAAGGGTCTTGCAGTTGATGTGGAAATGTCACAAAATATGGGTCTCGATGTCGATGGAATTGTTAAAGATCTAAGAATTAAAGATGAAGAACTTGGATTTTCTATTAAAGCTTTTAATTCTGCATCTCCTTCTTGCGCTTTTGCCAATTCTTCATAATCGATGAGGTTTGGCAAATCTATAGTGGAGATCCGAGAGAGAGTATCTGCCGTAACGTTCTCATTCCCTTTAATATAACGTATATCCGTGGAAAACTGTGACAGAAAGTCAAGTTGACGGAATTGACGAGGTGAAGCCTTTTCAGGTTTTTGTTTAAAAGCGAAAGTAAGAGGCTTATGATCCGTGTAGATTATAAAATTTCGACCTTCTAGCATGTATCGAAAATGCTTCACCGTAAGATATACCGCAAGTAGTTCTTTATCATAAGTACTATAGCGTTTTTGAGTATCATTCAGCTTCAAAGAATAGAATCCAAGTGGTTTCCAAACTTCACCAACTTTTTGTTGAAGAACCCCACCAATTGCTAAATCGGACGCATCGACCATAACGGATATCGGTACCAAATCGGTAGGATGAGCCAACAGCGTACATCGGGACAATTCGTTCTTACATTTTTGAAATGCAGATTGAGCTTCAGGTGTCCATTCGATTAGAGATCTGTCGTTCTTCTTATTACCTTTCTGATAAATAAGAAGTGGGATTTGCATCTCCGCCGCGTTCGGTAAAAATCTTCGGTAAAAATTTAACATCGCAGTAAAACGTCGCATCTCCTTGACAGTTTTCGGTTGCGGGAAGTTTAAGATTGCATCGACTTTCTCAGGAATTGGTTGAATGCCTTCGGCGGAAACTAAGTGGCCAAGAAATATTACTTTGTCTTGTCCAAAATGACATTTCGAAACATTAACAGTTAGACCATATGTCTGTAAGCGATTAAATAATTGCTCAAGATCAATTAAATGCTGCTCTAGAGATTCGGATGCGATTAGAACATCGTCGAGATAAGGGAAACAAAAGTTTAGCCCCCGAAGAACATCATGCATAAACCGCTGAAATGTTTGAGCGGCGTTACATAAACCAAAGGTCATAAATTGAAATTCAAATAAACCGAATGGTGTAATAATTGCGGTTTTTTGAACATCGGCTGGAGCAACCGGAATTTGATTATAGGCACGAACTAAGTCGATAGTTGAAAAAATAGTTTTTCCTGAAAGCCCATAAGCAAAATCATAGATGTGCGGAATGGGATAACGGTCAGGAACAGTCTGTGCATTAAGACGACGATAATCCCCGCAAGGACGCCATTCACCATTTTTCTTTAAGACCATATGCAACGGACTGGACCAGGAGCTTTTCGATGGACGACAAAGTCCTTGATCCATCATAAACTGAAATTCTCGTTTTGCAATTTCGAGTTTATCAGGTGCTAAACGACGAGGTCTCGAAAATATCGCTGGACCTTTTGTCTCAATAACATGTTCAAGGGTATGAGGGACTTTTTTCTGATGTGACGATGGTTTAGTTAACTCCGGATATCGAGATAAAAGTTTATGAAAAATCGTTGTACTAACAAGCGTCTTAACTGCTGGCAATTCATTTGCTGTGCGTAACTTACCAGCAGAACGTAGGCCTGTTTCGGAATCTATTAAACATCCTTCTTTTAAATCAACTAGTAGGCCAAAGTGTTTTAAAAAATCGGCGCCGATTATAGCGCTGTTAACATCAGCAATAATGAACTCCCAAGCAAACGAACGGCGTAGACTAAAAGTGGGAGCTATTAGTTGAGTGCCAAACGTGTTTATAGGTGTGCCATTAGCAGCAAACAGCTTGTATTTATCGGGCTTTTTGGATGATATTGCTGTTGACGGTAGTACTGACACATCTGCACCAGTGTCTATCAGGAAGTTTATGCGTGTGAGCTTATCGAAGATATGTAGGCGATTGATTGTAGAGTTCCGGCCACTAGTTTCATCTAGTGACCGGCCGGCGAGTTTCCCTGGCGACGTTGCTTGAAGGTGCAGGGTTGTCGACAATTCCGAGCTTTAGGTCCAAATCGACGATGATAATAGCACCATTCTGATGTATTCGCAGCTGACTCAGCTTTGTAACATCCACGAGAACTCGATCGACTCCTGTGTTGAAAGCGTTTTTTCTGAAGGTTACTTACTGCTGTGCTTAAAGTTGAAATTTGTTGTTGAAGATCCATTAGTTCAGGGAAAGATTGTACAGCAGCCACTGTTGATTGAGGTGCTGATATGGCTTGGATTTTATCCGCCATAACTGCGAGTTTATCAAGAGCTTCGGAAGATGTTGCTAACACAGCTTGTGTTTGTGAAGGCAGTCGTTGAAGCCACATATTACGTAGAAAGTCTTCACTGACACCACCATGAGAGAGACCACGCATCTCCCGTAGAAGACAACTGTGTTTCTTGTCCCCTGCGTCCAAATCGTTCAATAACTTCTGAATTCTTTTCTCCTCCGATATAGAGAAATGATCGACGAGACGTTGTTTCAACTGCGTATAAACATTCTGAGGTCGAGCCAAAATAATGTCGCTCACCTGACTTAAAAGATCAGGCTCCAATTCAGGAAGAATAGTGAAATATTTCGTTTTCTCAGCCACGATTCCATGGTGTTCAAACTGTGCTTCGATCTGGGCAAACCAAACCAGCGGGTTTTCTCTCCAAAATTTCGGAACGCGAAGATGAACGGCTGATGATGAAGCATTCACAACGCTTGAAGCGGCAGCAAATGTATTACCAACTGAGGCTGATTCTTGCGATGAGGTGGCATTATCTCTGGAGCGCGTATTTGGCATCGTGTACTCGATCACGTCGGGGTCAGAACCTACAACCCTAACACACCGTTGCTTCAGGAGGAGCCTCCGCCCAGGCACGTCAGGGGCACCTATTCGTGTACAAGGACGCAGTCCAACAGTACGTAGACCAACCATTGGACCCGACGACATACAGACGAGCCATCAACGACATTCATAGAGAGTCAGTTACTACCTACCTCGACTCTCGACCTATGAATGCCGTAATACGAGCCCAATCACCACCTGTAGAAGAGACGGAGCTTCAACTGCCTCGAGAGACCCGCGTTACCCTGGCTCAATTACGGTCTGGATACTGTAGCCGCCTTAACAGCTACCTGTCCAGACTCGACCCCAATATCCCCAATGAGTGCCCGGCATGTGGAGAGTCCCCCAACGACACCAACCACCTCTTTACATGCCAGCTCAATCCGACTCAACTAACACCCCTCTCCCTCTGGTCCGAACCCATCGAAACAGCTCGTTTCCTGGGCCTCCCGTTAGTTGAGCTTGACGACAATGATTGAACGTAGACCCGAAAAAGGCGGGGCTTAGTAGTGCCGCTACAACAACAACAGAGATCACGTGAAACTCCCCGTTTAATTATGCTTGGCTTTGACGTTTGATCTCAAGCAAGTGTTTCTAAGTACTTCTGTCCAGAAATAGGAACTAAACATGCCTATTATGGTATCCGACGGATGACATCAGCACGGATGTAATCCGACTCGCACTGTCATAACAAGCGAGTGAGAAGGATTAAATTCATCAGAATGGGATCCCTCGGAAACAGACCTATTTCGGTCCGGCAGATACCATTCGCACGAATCGAATCCTTTGCACTCGCTTATTTCGACAGTGCGAATCTGATTAGATCTGTGCGGATGGCATCCGCCGGATACCGTAATAGGCATGAATATAAAGTACTTATAATTAATGGCTTTCAGAAAATTCTTTGTAATTATTAAACCTTAGCTTCCTGTATCATACAAATGAACGGCCAAAATTAACATCCGTTAAATGTATCTAAAGAGAACCACATTCTCTTAAATAGTACACTTTTTCCGTTTTGAACCACATATGTATGTTTATAATAAAAAATTTAGTACTGCAACTAATAAGTTTTTTTGTGTTAATTTATTATTCTGTTGCTTCAAGCTGTAGCCAACTTGAAAGAGTAATGCTCCAAAATGTGTTGCTTACAAAGTTTCAGTGATTTATAAAACACTCAAAAAACGAAATAATGGAAAAGTTTTATCTATATACGAATAGCGCTCGTTTAGTTAATTATAAACGTTATTTCCAAATTGTGTAAGTAGCTGAAAACTAAGTAAATTATGTACGTTTTAATATGAGAAATGGTAATACGTGATAAATTAATGCAGATCTTATCCAACGCCGACGTCTTTGCTAAGGCAATCTAACTTTCATCATCGCTGCCCGCGGCCTGTCGAGGCTTTGGTCCGCCAGCGCGTTTCGCCATTATAATTTGATCGACCTTTAGAATTGTAGTGGCAGCACCTACTGCATATTTCAGGGCCCAGTATTTCGCTTGAAACAGATCGTAGATATGTGTTTTAGTCACATCGATAGTATCTGCTTTTTCGGTCTCAATATTGAAGCCAATATTCTTTCCACTGGACTTTTTGTGTGCAAGATACAGCGCATTTACAACATCGGTACCATTCACACCAGAGTTTTCAGCCAAAGCTTTTGGGAATGCTTCCAAAGCGGTTGCGAATTTACGCACAGCATACTGCTCTAGGCCGGGTAGGGTATCAGCATATATAGCCAGTTGCGAGGCCAATTCGATTTCAGTGGCACCAGCGCCAGGCACATATCGTCCATCACGCGTCAAGCCCTTGAAGTTATTTACACCATCATCCACAGCACGTTCAATGTCATCCATGAAGTTGTCGGTGGCGCCACGTATGACAATGGTGGAAATACGGGCATCCTTGCCTTCGTTTCTGAAAAAAGTGCCGGTAGATCGTTTTGCTAAATAAGAAATAAATTTTTTAAATTGCCTACCTAAAAACCACAGCAGTGGTGCCGCCCAGCTCTTCAACACACACTTTATCGCAGTAGCCCAACTCTTCGTTGGTGGGTGTGGTGATGCGCGGCAGCACAGTGGCATTTACTGTGCGACTTAAACGGCGTAAGTCAAATTTGGAGTTCAAACGTACAGCCATCAGATTGTATTTATTTATGAAATGTAAGGCCATATCACCCACTTTGCCGCCGCAGACGACCACTTTAATACCGGCATCGGCAAGTCCTTTAATTTGGGCCTCAAGTAAACTCTCTTCACCAGCAGAGAAATTCATCAACTCATCAGCGGACTTTATTAATACAGTACCTTTAGTTTCTGTCTGTATGATGTCGATTGGGCATGAGAATACTGCCACCTTGGCTTTCTCCGCAAAAGTGACATCACCTTCGACATAGCGTTTGAACACCATACCATGTACGACTTCAGATTTATTCAGTCCGCAGCCCAAAATTTTGCAAACACGGATATTATCTACATTAAAGGTGCCTTGGTCTGGTAGTATCGCAACACAGGCCTTTGCTACCAGTTCGGTAAGGAATTCTTCCTGTCCATATTGTTTTGACATTATAGCTGTTTTAAGGCACTCTGTGACTTTATTCACATCGCGGTAGTCCTCAATTTCATGGCATACAAGTTTAGGAAGAATTTCCAATGCTTTTTCCAAAGCTTTCTCATAACCATCAGCAATTTCAGAGGTAGTTATACCCAACCGTAGGAGCTCCTCGGCAGCTTCAAGTAGTGCACCCGCAAAGATAACAACGAAATTAGTGCCATCGCCTACTTCGGCGTCCTGCATTTGGCTACCCATGACAATGAGTCTTGCCGCTGGATGTTCTACATCCAATTCCTGCATGATGGTGCCAGCATCACTGGTTACAAATTGTTTGTCAATGTGATTGATGACCATTTTGTTCATGCCGTTGGGACCGTAGGCGGACCGCATTGTCTGCGCAAATTCTTTACAGGCAGTGATGTTACGATAGACGGCCTCCTCTAGACCACTGTACATCTGTTATAACGAATTAAGGGCATGAGTACATTTTTGTAAAACTAAATAATGATTTAAAAAATTGTATGTAAATTTATCACACGCTGCGGTGACTAATAAATGTCGCAGATATAGGAGAAGCCGCACGCTGCCCATTTTTTTTAATAGCGCAGTCGCTTCTTCAATTGAGCTACAAGCAAAATTTCTATATTTATGTGATATTTTATCTTACCCGGGCGCCATCCTTTAGCATTTGCGCGACTCCTGGAGCTTTTGGTACGGATAAAGCCATTTTTGTTCACAGATTTTTGGAATCACAACGTTGAGAAATAAACCGAATGAAAAGTTGAGAAATTGCCGATTTTAACCTCAAACACGCGCATGAAAATGACATTTAACTTAAAAGTGATCATTCTCAGTAGGTAACAATTTATTGTGAACGGCAACATGTAAACCGTGATGCCAGATATGGGTAATTTCCCTATTTGAGGGATATTTTGCAACAAAAATTATTAAAAGGGAGAAAAAAGTACTTTTATTTAACCCGCTTATCGATCAATAATTGATCAAAATTCAAGAATTGTCGACACTCTTACGAAAATAATCGTTCTGAAGTTGTGATGTGGAGTAAAGTTATGTATAAGTGTACAAGATTATAAGGATAATCTTGAAATTTTTCTCACTTTAACCAATTCATACGCTGAGTAATACTAGGTTCACATATAAGTAGATTATCCTCATTTTCAAGCTTAACACACTAATCCGTAATTATAACAAGAGATTAGCCATATAAAATTCGTCTCTTGTTAATCTGTAATTATAAAATAATCTCAGATTTAACCGATAACTTTTCGGTGTCCATCCTAGTTTTATCGATTGTTTTTGCGAAAAAGAGGAGAAATGCCAAATGTAAAAGTAAACAAAAATGTACGCCAGCAAGTAAAAGAGGTTTGTGAAGGTATTTTTAATAAAATGTTAAGTTAAAATATATTTATATTGCTTATTATAGCAGAAAAACGTGATCACGGTGGCACAGAAACATAACTTTTCCTTGAGATGTGAGCACAACAAATTTGACGGCTAATAATCTGAGATTTGCCTGGGTAAACGGGGTGATTAACAAACGAGCTTTGATTGAGATAATATTGATATGTGAACATAGTTTAAGAAAGAATGTCTCCAATTGTAATTGGGTTTTAGTGTAAAAAGAAGAACAATTTATCTGATGAAATGTTAAATAGTACATGTATGTATATAAAATAACGGTTGCTTTTGAATAAAAAAGGCAAGTGCTTCAACTTTTAAATCACTAAAAACCATATTCGCTTAGAAAATGTAAATAATTTTTAACAGTGGTATTTTTAAGAATTGCTTGAATTCCTTGAGGCCTTAAGTGCGTAATCTACTGACCTTTGCATTTCAAACGAATATTATATGTATATGTATATTAAGGTAACTAAGGCTGTGTGCGAGTACGTTTAAATTGCTAACTAAATAGAGAAAAATCCTAAATCACTGGAAAGTGTCGGTAAGGCAGTGAATAGGAACAATTTTGATTTTCTGCGATCATACTTTTCAACCTAAATTGAACAGTCAAATATATTTGAGCGAGCGATTAAGTGAACAACGATTTTTTGATGTTTTAAATAATTTTTATCATTGCTATGGCACAAAAAAGAAAATATTCAGAAAGATGTAAGTATAAATTTATTTGATTTTTGCATTCAGATAAGCATATGTGTAATTCGATGGATGTATATTATTTCGCAGGGTCAGAAGAGCAAACGGATTCTTTTATAGATGCCAGGATGGAACATTCTCCTTTTCTGTTGCAAATATATTATATTGATACATAGTCCCAAAGCTACCGCAAAATTATTAAATTTATAGATATATTTATTAAAAGCAACAATTCCAAAACAAACAATTTAGGTTGTCGAACGAACTCGCACAGTTTTAGCAGCTGTTTTCCTAAATTGTAGCAGTGCTGGAAATTCCCAGTGAAATATTAGTTTAGGTACTAAAATTTAGGTAAACTCGCACACAGCCTAAGTATATGAATGTTACTTCTTTACTACTAAAATAAGTGTTTTGAATACTTTGGGAATTTTGTGGGATACATTTTTAAAATGTTGGTAATTGACGGGTTTTCTCCGATTTCCGTAGGTAATTTAGCAGAGAATATCTGGCATCACTGCAAGCAAAGAACGTAATGTACGTAAATTTACGTTCTTTGCTGCAAGCAAGTTGCAAAGAACGTAAATCAATACATTTACGTTCTTTGACGCTTCTTATAGATTTACGTTCTATGTGAAAAGTCAAAAATTCAATAATTGCGGTGTGAAAGTTTTATTTTTATCACTACACAATAACGCAGAACGAGAATGGACCTTCAGATCGCTATCAGGATCATATGGTTGTTGTTGCATTTGCGGGCAAATTTTTTGTATCCGGATCCCGATCATTGCCAAAGAAACACAACTTTAGTAATGCACGTTAAAAATTCAATGGCACCATCTACCTGCTAATAGCGGTAATGTATTTGATTGATTTTCTAGGACTTCCTTACCCGCTCTCAAAATTTGTGCACACCACCAAGTGCAGCCAACGAGAGAGCTCAACATTCCAACGTAAGTTAGCACTCGTGTGTTTTCAGTAAAACCAATTAGAAAATTTTTGTTTATTGCCCGTTATTAATAGTTTAATTTTCAGATAAAATACCAAACTAGTGCCAAAATTACATATCAGTGCTGAAAATCGTAGCATACTTTACGGCGGTACAACCCTTTAACCTACCATTCCAACCACCCACCCCACAGTATTCGTTGCATTTTGTTGGACAACAATCCACGTTTAGCCGAGGCTTCCTGTGCATGTGAGCCGTGCCTCAAGTGATACCCAAACACCTGCCAAAATCTCTACATACATACGTACAAATCCAGTTGCTTAAACATTTAAAGTGTGTGCAAGGCATCAGCAACATAGGGCTCGCCGAGACTGCCGTACTGGACATTATGGCTGCTAACCTACAACAGCAGCGCAGTATCAACGAACAGCTGCGTCGCGAAGCGGTTGTTCCGCGCATACAGGTGTCTGAAGCCTGCCAGCTGATGATGAAGTATGTGCTGGAGCATGAGGGTGAAGATTGCCTGCTGAATGGGTTTGCCAGCCAAAAGGTGAATCCGTACAGAGAGAAGAACTCTTGTAGTATTTTGTAAATGGATAAGTATTTTTTTGTTGCTTTTCAATGACGGGCTGGACTTAATTTATAAAATACTTATACTAGGTACATTTAAATGTATGGATTATAAATTGTTCCTAGGTGTGTGTGTCTTTGACTGAATGTAGTTGAATTAAAAAAAACTATATTTTTCAAATTCACACTGAGCAAACTAAAATTTCTGTTTCGTTTTATAAAAATGTTTTAAGTAGTAAACAAATTTATACTCGTTCTAGTTATAAAACCTCAAATTAACTGGAGCTGTCGAGATTATGTAGTAACGATAAATGGCTATTAAAAACTGTATGTATATACTAATACTCTAGTAAAAATTTCTAATAATAAATGGGTCAATATTATATTTGTAATCAACAATTTGCTGGAAACGACAACAATTTTTTATGAGTACATAAATATACAGTGATGCGCAAAAACGGTCGAATGAAGGTAATTTTTGAATATTCAAGTTAAAATTGTTTTATTAATTTTAACAACAATACTGTTCATGTTATAACACAAACATATTAATTGAAGTTTCAAACTTTATTAAAAATTTACGGGCAGCAAAAAAAAAATATTGTATGCAAATCAAAGCGAATTCTTAGCTGCTTCAAACTTACACTATTATTAAAAACTCATGGAATACATATAAAACTGCGTACCCAAAAGTTTTCTAAAAATTCAGTTTGAAATTTTAAATATAGAAATTCGAAACATTTTTCTGAATTTTGTATAAAGTTTGAAATTTTAATAAGCATGTTGGTGGCTATAGCATGAACAGTAAATTTATAAAAAATCAACAAAAAAATGTTAACTTGGAATCATTTTGAATATTTAAAACTAATCATAATTCGACCATTATTCCTCGATATCGTATATGTACATTAGGGTGCCTTACCAGTAGTGGCAGATTTGCAGTTTTGCCCGTCCGAATGGCACCAGCCGCCCCTTCCTCAGCTCCAATTAGTTGCGTACTACATCCTATCCAGAGCTGGGCGATAAGGATTACGATTACTAAACGTTTAGGATTCAGTAATACCAACAAGCTAAAAAACAAGATTACGATTACAGTAATCCTGTAATCGTAATCCAAGTTCGTTCGAGGAACGATTACTTTAATTGTAATCATGTATTTTCTGTTATAAGGGTTTAGATAAATCCATATATATTTCGCAAATTTATAGAATTACTTCGTTTAACATTACTCAAAAAATTGTAATAAGAAAAATTGTAAATTTAAAATTATTGTAATCACTCATCGAACGAACTTAGATTATGGTTACAGTAATTTCAATTTTAAAAAAGTTTAAATTACGATTACTGTATTTGCCACCCCTAATATGTGGCCGCCCTAGGCCCGGGCCTAAGAGCAAATCCGCCACTGATTACCACAAATAAAACGCAGATTTTACACCGGAGTTATAAAACATATTGGGGCTGTTCAGTAGCTTGTGTATATAATCTTGCATTTGCATATTTCGGTGTATTTGTAAATTCCCAACAATAAAATGCAAATTGTTGCCATTGTAGCAAGCATAAAAGCTGCGAATCCAAATCCAAGACCATTTCCACAATATCCCTGCAGTGTAACCCCAAACAAGTTAGGAAAAATACTAGTTTGCAACTAGGATTTCCTGACTGAAACCGAACAAGTTCGAAAATGACCTGACCAGTACCAAATACAAAACGATTTATTTATGCCCGGTTTTATTCGTCTTCGACAGTTTAATACAATAAATTACACAAAACCTTTAAAGCGAGTACGAATTGAATTGAATTGAAAAAAAGTAATGATTATTAATTAAATCATGTTTCTTTTGATAATCGTTTATTGATTAAATGCCAATATTAGCACATTTAATAATCTATTAAATATTTTTAATTAATTCATTAATTTTTCAATTATTTCTGACTCTTTTTAATTACGCGAAAAACACGATTAATATCCAGGTACCAGGTTGACCGAGCTTTGCCCGGAGTGCATATACTTTTTAAAGTTTTCAAGATTTGGAAAGGTTTATAAAAAAATATATAAAATATAATACAAAATATATATAAAAAAATAAAAAATGAACTTCGATATCTATTAAGCAAATTTCTTACTCCGAAATTTAGGTGGCGACCCTATTCCGAAATACGCTGGAATGAATGGTACGTAGCTTGAGCGTATATGTACTGTG